ATGCTTTTAAGATCTATATTTATTTATCAAAACTTTTTTTGCAAGAACATTCTTCAAACACATTTACAAAAAACAAATGCAAATGTAATTATTTACACAAAAACCACAGCATATTGCAATATAACTAGTTCCACAGATGTCCTGTCTTGTATTTATCTCATCTCATATTGTCTGTGTGTGTTTGTGTGTGTGTGTGTAAAAGAGAACATGAACATTACACCCATATGTGATTGTTGAACATCTCATTCTTAAACCATGGGCATTAACCATTGACAGTATATGTAAGGCTTTAAGGGACCAGTGTGCAGGATTTAGTTGCATCTAGCTGTAACACGAAAGTCCCAGTGTTTGTCCATTCTGGGCTACTGTAGTAAAATGGCGGTTGCACACATTGGCTTATATATACTGTCAATGATTCCACATGGCAGCTTCTGTGCAATAGGACCTGCTCACCGTTGTAAATAAAAATGGATAATTTCAGTGGTGTGTTCTCACCATTGACTTATATATAGATATATCTTTTATGTTTGGATGGTTGCCATTAAAATGCGTTAATTTTCACCTCATGTTACTGGCAGGGGCAGACAAACTGGCTCAAGCCGCATGTGGCTCTTTAGCCCTCCCCAGTGGCAAGTTATATAGAAATGAATGTTTTTTTTTATTTTAATTTATTCTTATATTCTCCAATTGTACAAATGTGAAGCCATTACATATCAAAAGAAAGTGTGTCATATGTTATGTTCTGACATGGCGCCTTTTTTTGCATATTTTGCAGAACCTCAATAGCAATACCAAAAAGTGGAAAAGTCATGCAGGAAAACTTGAATTTAATAGCGCATGGACCAATTTGTTTGCTTTCACCACCAACACTGCTGGCTAACCAGTATAAATGTTAGATCTGCGGAGATAATAGCACTTTTATAGCTACAGACAGATGGGTTTTTTTAGTCTCTTGGCTCTTTTAAAGGTTATTCACCACTGTTCTAAGGTAATGAAACACTTAATTCTTATTGCCCGGTGATCATACACTGATGAAAACATACCTATGAATATTATATTCCATTTCTACCCAATGGATCCTACTAAATGTTACACACTGGACCTTTAAATATGCTGCTAGAACAGCCTCAACTCTTCTGGACAGATCAGGGGCGCTGATGATAGGTGTTAATGTCTCATTCACAGTCGGTTTCCGCACTTCATCCCCAGAGTGTTGGATCAGGTTTGAGGTCAGGTTTCTGTGCAGGTCAGTCAAGTTCTTTCACACTAAACTCTGAGAGTAATTTCTGGGCTTTGCTTTGTGCTTGGGTGCACTGCCATGCTGGAAGAGGAAAGGGACTTCCCCAAACTGCTGCCACAGTTAGATTACTGTCTAAAATATCATTGTGTGCTGTGGCATTAAGATTTCCCTCAACTGGAACTAAGGAGCCTTTAGTCTAAACTGTGAAAACAGCCCCAGACCATTTTTTTAATGCCATTACTTAACCTGTTCCAGTTATATTTGGTTGCCAATGAATGGATGGGCATATACAATGAGACACATGTTTGAATGCAATTCAGAATACCACAAGATTAAATCAGAAATTACCAGGGAAGATGTCCACTTATGTCTGTTACACAGTTGAGTAAATATCATAGTTTCAAACCTCAATTTACTCTGTGATATCTGTGTGAATGTCACCATTTCACTGGAATTTAGATCGAATGTGGGAAATAGGAGGAAATGAAATAGCAGGTCTGTCATGTTTTATGTATAGATGCAGTAAATAAGCAAATAGGTACAGAATGGTTTGGTGATTTCTATGAATTTTAAATCTGTAGCGCTACACACACACACACACAGTCATTCATACCAATATAAACCAAAACATGTGCTGAAAAGCTTCCACGATGAAATGAGTTTGCAATTGTTAAAATTAAACCTCTCTCACACACAAATACACACTCCTATAAGCCGTCTTTAAGTGTGCGCCGCTATTTGCAGTAGAGAAATATTCCCCTGATCATTGTGAAACTCAAGTCTGAACTCTATTTCCCTTCCGTTCACCTCAAGAGAAAGCCTTCATATCTGTCTCTCCTGAGCCAAATGAGGCTTTCTTATGTGCACTGTGTGTGTAAGTGTGTGTGTGTGCATATGACTCAGTGGGTGTGTGTTTCACATGAGACTGTGAAATGTTAAGTCACTCTCATCTCAAGAGAGGCTGCTGAGGCGCAATGGAAACTATCCCACGTGTCATCTTCATTTTAAATACCACCTATTCCCTCCCTGACTCCCTTCTCTTTGTCTCTTTCTATTCGCCTTCCTCTCCCTATCTATGTCTCTTTTTTTTTGCTTTCACACCCACACACTCGCTCACAGGCTGAGAGATTTCCCTGTTTATTTTTTAATGGGAAATAAATGAAACAGTGGTGGCATACTGAACATCGGAGCTCAGTTCAATATTTATTTATTTATTTATTTATTTACGGCCCAGGGACACAGTTTCCCTCCCGAATACAATGTCACAGCTTTGGTGTTGGAACGTGGACAGGAAAAAGTGTGAAATATTGAGCCTGTTGAGGATTTTTCTAAACATATGTTATTGTGTGCGTGTGTGTGAAAGTGTGATTGTGTTGGTGTGCTTGTATGTGTGAGAAAAAAAACACCACTAGCCACAGCTGATAACGATTGTTAATGACGCTCAGACTGTCAGGGATAACACTGCGATGTATTCATTTATGTTAATTAATACTGGAAATGAAAACCTGAATTTCAACCAACTAGATTAGATTTTCCCTCTGCACTTCACATTGATTATCGCACTGATGTCCACCGTGTGTAGCTACTGCAGTATGTCCTATATTGTGTGTGTATGTGGGAGAAGATCTGCTTTTACTGTGGTTATACCGACAAGACTGTCGTGATCTGATAAAAAATATCTGATGCAACAGCTAATAGCAACATTAGCATATATTGTTTGCAACTATAAGTTAAGTTTTATATTTCAATTCTCATTTTTGGAGTGTGTTTATTTCATTGGTAAAAAACTATGAATATTGGGCCTTTGTACTCTTTAACCTCATGTTATTTGTTCTAATTATTTGACTTTTGTCAGTGTTTATGATGAAAGTAAAGTAAAAAAAAAAGTATTTACATTGTAATATTTGAGTGAGTTTTGTATACTTGGATGGTAATGTGCATGTTTTCACCAGTGGTGTAAAAAGTACCCATACCACACTGTGAAACTATATATAATGTTTCTGGATTCATATTACTGCTGCATTAATGTGTATGTTGCATTTTACTGCTGCAGATGTTTAAGGTTGAGCTATTGTGACTACATATATGGATATATATGCTCATATGTATACATATATATATATATATAGAACTTGTGGTAAATACTGTAAACAAACCACTTCAAATGTATATTTTTAATCATTTATGGCACACGTATTAAGGTAATTCATTTCTGAATTTCATCTGAAATTTTAAAGGCAAATTTAAAAAAAGCCTTTTAGAGATCTTAAATGTATTGCTTTTCATAGGAATTTGAAATTTCAAGCTTACTCACGTAATGCAGCATGAGTGGCTGCGTCTGATTCAGTCTGCTCCTTTTATGTGAGTGACATCAGACTGGGTGATTGTGCACTCCAGAAAAGAAAACTTTGACATACTTGTACAGCATAACCCTCTCATTGACACCTAACTATATCCGACTTGCTGGTGAATAAAATATGAAATTTGGAAATCTGAAACTGATTTTCCAACTGGGTCACTGCCTCCATGCACAACTGAACAGGGATAATTGGACATTCATATTTTTTTCCCTAAATGAATTTGACAGGCCTTTCCCCGGGCTCACCACTAGAGGGTAAAAGTCCTTTGCTCACCCACTCTCTCAGTTTATTTCTGATACTCACACACGACCTACAAATCAGCTGCATCAGACAGTAGAGAGGGAACAGACAGAGTTGGGGACTGGGAGCTGCTTTTCTAAAATGTTCCCAACCAAAGAATATCACTTTCTCCTTTCGCTGTCCTCCAGTTCTTCTTATTATTAATAATTGTAGCAGTTGTACTTCTATATACTGATCAAACCCTGAGTGAAGGTTATTTTATAAATAGATTAAATAGGACTATTAGCAGATATTAGAGGACAACAAGAGGCAACTCTAGAGTTGATGCAAACCTAATCAATAGGCTATTTCACATATTGAAAGACAGTAGACAATGATAAGAAATGACAGTATATGCAGGAAATCATTTTTAAATACATATAATTTGGACACAATAAATCTCAAGTGGATTTCCAAGATCTATAGGTAGATTATTACAAAATCCTGTACAGATATTTGTGGTTCCCTGACCATGTTGACTTTAATGATCCCCTGAATTTTCCTCTGGTTGTGAGTTAAACATCCCGCCAGCTGTTGGATGGATTGACACGAAATTCAGTTCACACATTTATACTCCCCTCAGGATGAATTGTAAAAACTTTGGAGATCTCCTGGCTTTTAAAAAAAATTACCCAATACTTTGATTTATGACAGCATACTGACATGAAAAACCAATGACATTCATATCAACCTCAGCTGTACTTAAGCTTAGTACTAATCAGTAAATTTTAGAAACTCTAAGATGATGATGATGAGCCGCTGCATGAAACTTAGTCTTGTTAAAGGATTGCATTTTATGTTGTAGCTGATCACAATTAAGCTATTTTACTACTACTTTTTACACTGTTAGGTAAATTAATCTAACAAATAATAATTAATCCATAATGCAATATACTTCACATACTGGCCATATCTTTTGTATGTAAAGCCATGATCCACATAGTACCTAGTAGTTAAGCAGTAGTATTAAGCAGTACAGAAATAAAATATTGGTACAGTACCTCAAAATCATACTTAAGAA